GCATTCATGTCTTTTGATGTTTGAGCTGATAAATGGTGGGTCTGAAATCTCTAGATTATTGCATAGTGCCTGTTCAACATCTAGTCAGGGCTCATCTAAGAAGGTATGTTTTAACCATCCTGAAATGAACTGAAGCCTGTTGGCTAAGAAGTATTGTTGAACGTTAGGCAGATCTAGTCCTCCTTTATCCTTGGTTCTTTGTAGTGGTTTTAAGCTGATACGCGGGGGGTTTATCTTTCCAAAGGAATTTAGAAATATACAAATCAAGAGATCTGAACCAATCTTGTGATGGTTTGTTTGGGATCATTGAAAATAAATAATTTATTTTTGGCAAGATCATCATTTTTATAGTGGCGACCCTTCCCATGAGTGATATGGGTAGAGATTTCCATCTAGTCAGATCGCCTTGTACTTTCTTTAGAAGTGGGATGTGGTTTAATTTAGTTAAGTCTGAAAGCTTAGGAGAGAAATGAATACCTAAATATTTAATATTTCCAGATTGTAGTGGGGCAGAAGAAGAATTATGGAAGGAGCAGTTAATGGGAAGAACTCTAGATTTTGACCAATGAATTGAATAATCTGAAACTCTTGAAAACCTGTTTATTAGTGTAATCACCTCAGAAAGGTTGGTTTGTGAGTTTTGGAGAAAAAGCAACACATCATTCGCATAGAGACTGATTTTATGTTCTACGTTCTTACATTTTATGCCCTTAATTGTTGTAGCCTGTCTAAATGCTGCTGCTAGTGGTTTGATAAAAATTGCAAACAGTGAAGGGGAGAGTGGGCATCCCTGTCTGGTGCCCCTCAGGAGACAGAAGCTGGAGGATGTCTGGTCATTTTTTCTGACACAAGCTGTTGGGGAATTATAAAATATTCTTATCCAGTTTATGAAAGAGTTTCCAAAACCAAATTTGTGTAAAGTTGCAATTAAAAATTTCCAGTTAACTCTGTCAAATGCTTTTTCTGCATCTACAGATAATATTGTGGTTTTAGTGTTTTTACTGCATGAGTAGTCTATTAAATTAAGTAATCTACGTGTATTTGTTGATGAGTGCCTGCCTTTTATGAAACCAGTTTGGTCAGGATGAATTAAAAGGGGGGTTATCTTCTCTAATCTTTTTGAGAGAGCTTTGCAGATTATTTTGAGGTCTACATTTATAAGGGATATTGGACGATAGCTTGAGGGAAATAAAGTGTCATGATCCTGGGTCCTTTTGACCCAGCATTTTGTGTTTTCTCTTCGATTTTGGTTCTGTTCTTCCTTTGTTTAGTGTTTACTCTGTTCTGCCCGTGTGTTCCTGTTTTATTGTGAAGGTCTGCGTCTTATGTGAGTGTTTTCAGTTTGCCTCCCTAGTCTCGTTATGTTAATCACTCCCAGCTGTGTTTCCCACCTGTGTGTAATCTCCCTGTGTTCTCTGAGTGTATTTAAGTTGTATTTTCTGTCTTAGTAATTGCTGGTTCGTCTGTGTTGTTTCCCCTTGGTCTCCCTGCGTCTTCCCATATGTATTTCTCCGGACCTCCCTGCATCCTCGTTCTGGTTTGTCTTATTAGTTTACCCAGTTTAGGTTTCCAGTTTCATGTTTTGTCGCCACCGCTGTTTGTACTTACCCACCCCTGTTAATAAACACTCACCTGCACCAGAGCTGCTGCCTTTTGGGTCCTTCCTACATTCCACACGGCTTGCCCCGGCAATCCGTGACATAAAGGGTCTTTGTCTGGTTTTAGCATGAGACTGATGTTGGCAGAATTCTTATTTGGTCGTAGTCTGCCATTTTTCTTGATTTCCTTCAATGTTCTGTGGAATATTGGTACCAGAATTCTTTGTAGAATTCTACTGGAAATCCATCTGGACATGGAGCCTTATTATTGGGCATACTTAGCGCTTCCTGGAGTTCACCTGGTGTCAGTGGCGAATCCAGTGCCATTGCTTGACTGTCTAGTAATTTTGGAAGAGTAGACAAAGAGTAGACAGTAGCGAAATAAAAACAACAAAACAACTCTTTGTAATTGCACATTTATTAAAGTGTGTTCTTAAGAATTATCTTCTTGATAACACAAGTTATCCCATGTCTTCTGGCCTGCAAGGCGGTGACTTTCCCCGGCAGGCCCATCTTCTCCAGAATTGTCCTGATCACACACAACAAATAGGAGAAGAGAGGAAACCATGGCAACTATGTTGTGGCGGAGGCGTGGCCCCGGGCGCAGCTGCAGGGGAGGAGTGGAGCGGAAGGCTCATCAGGGCGGCGCTGCGAGGCCGGTAAGAACAGCTGATGTTGTTTATGGACTGATGATGGTTTCCCTCCCCTGTGTTATAGTGAGACGGAGAGGAGCGGGAGGGGGGGAGTTGGCTCGGCCGGACGGCTCCCCGGCCTCGAACGGGCGGTGGGGGTGTGTGGCGGAGGCGTGGCCCCGGGCGCAGCTGCAGGGGAGGAGTGGAGCGGAAGGCTCATCAGGGCGGCGCTGCGAGGCCGGTAAGAACAGCTGATGTTGTTTATGGACTGATGATGGTTTCCCTCCCCTGTGTTATAGTGAGACGGAGAGGAGCGGGAGGGGAGAAAAGAGACACACATCAGCTGGGATGGACAGCTGTCATTCTGTGCGATAGTATCAGTGTGTGAAAGTGTAAATAAATGTGGAACTTGGCGATAAAGACCTGTGTGTGCGTGTACCTGTGCCTAGTATATTCCACATATGTTAATCCCTAAATCCAAAAGTTTGCACAGGATAACATAAGACAAATACCGTCTGGACATCACAGGTTCTGTACAGCAAATAAAGTTGTACCCAGTAGCCACCTTACAATTTCTGGGCCGATACCAAGTCGTTTGGTATCGGGCCGTGAGAGTTGAGGCTCGGTTGTGAAATTGATGGTTTTCAGGGTTTTTATCGTTAATTCGGTTTCCCTGGGTCTTTTCCCGTGTTGTAGTTGTGTCTCTTATTTCGAAAGAAATATTTACACGTTACCATAGCGACCAGAGAGCGTTAAAGGGCAGAGAGGAAGATGTTACTCTCAATGTTGTTCGTGCATTTTCAGGAGGATGCTGCTAATAAAGTTGCGCAATTACACAGTGAATTCACATTTATTGTTATATTTACAAAATACCACAGTTTTTGTCTTGGTCCTATCATTTTATTTTGTTGTTTTTTTCCACGACACCTTAAAGGCCGCTCCGTGTCTGACATTAAACCGGTCCATGGCACAAAAATGGTTGGGGACCGCTGCTATATAGCATGAGGGTTAATAAAACTGTACTCATATGAATATGATGTGTAAATTGATTTATTCTTGTACCTCCATGCCACAGTGGCTGAATTCTTCACCCCAGTGAAGAGGTGATCATTTTCTCCTTGTTTTAATAAAATGAGCCCTTTGGTCTTTGTTCCCTACAACATATCACAAAAAGGTTAATTTGCAAAAATCAAAATTGGCTGTATGGAAGCGGTAATATAGGATAAACTGTGGGACCCACCTTACAAGCTAGTTTACGATTATTTTAATTTAAAAAAAAAAAAAAACACGTCTATGCAGATGCCCACTGCTTAACAATACAACCACTATAACAATTTAACTTTTGTACCACCAGATGCTTCATTTTAAATCATGCTTTTTATTGGTTTTTGTTTTTTATTGTCTCTGTAAAGCACTTTGAATCACCTTGTTGTTGAATTGTGCTATTTAAATAAACTTGCCTTGCCTTGAATTTGGACACAGCCTGTGGCTGTATCTCAATTCAGGGTCTGCAGCCTTAAAGTACGCAGCCTCAATGATCCTCAAGGGCCGCGTACGTCCTTAAAATTCAGGGAAATTAAGGACGCATTTGAGGGCCGCATTTCGAGCAGCCTTCGAATTTGGACAGGCTTTGTTGCGTCGCGGTGACATAATCGGCCTTAAAATGCAGCCTTTAAGGCTGCAGACCCTGAATTGGGATACAGCCAACGTCTCTAGCCTTGTCTCCCCTTAGTCTCGTCAAGTGTGATAAGTCCCAGCTGTGCTCTCCTCCTGTGTCTCATTCCCTTGTTATCCCTCAGTGTATTTTAGCCCTGTGTTTCTCTTTGTCAGTTTTGTGTCGTCCCCTCATGCTGTGTGTGTGTTTCCCTCTGTGCTCCTAGTCTCTTGTCTCCAGGTTTCTTAGAGTTTAGTTTTAGTTTCTAGTTTTAGCTTGTTTTTTGCAAGTTTATTGTTTTCGGAGTTTTGTCCTATAACTGCAATAAAGCAGCCTCTTAGAGTTTACTCCTCTGTCTGAGTGTCCTGCATTTTGGGTCTTACATCTTGCCTGCCCCAGCTGTTTCATGACAATTACCCTATGCTTGTAATTATCAGTAATAGCTGCTCTCCGGAACAGATGTGAATCATGTTTGGCTATGCTTATGTTATGTACGGCCCAAAATGGCTTAAGTACCAGAACATGGTAAGCTCTAATATCGACCAGTAAGGGACCACCACACTCACACTGCAATGGGGTACACAAGATTTATTTTTTCCCTCAGAGTCAAACTACTGGCTGAAGACACAACTCTGGCCGCAACTGTTGCAACTCCGCAACACTTAAATCACAATCTGAGTCCCTGTATCTTTCTAACACAACTGATGAATCACTCAGATGATGAAAACCTATCCTAGCTTCATGTCGATATCTACTCAGATGACTACATGACAAACTATTCTGTATTTTTATTGTTAGTGTTTTCTTTAGGGAAAATACTGTACACCACAAATTTATGTTGAGTTTTTGAGTTTGTATCTATCATAGTTGGAGAGTTCACTTACATGTATCTATAAAGTGAAGTTTTAACTTTAATTAATATTTTACTTTTACTATTTCAACCAAAGAGTTTCAAGGTTATTTATCTACACTGTTTGCTCAGTTGTCCTCAGCAAAATTCACAGTAACTTCCCCTCCCTTCTTCTTGTGAAACATCACTCATCATGATGAGGCAAGACAGGATATATAAAGACTCATGGTCGACAATCATTGCACAGGACCTAATCATATGTTTAGGTCCTGTGCAAGTAGCTCATATAAAAATATAAGACATAGGAATGGGAATACTAACAATGAGGATAACTTCTACAGCTTTTGTACTTCTCATCCAAACATTTGTCTGTTTGGCTTCAAATGGTACTGTAATCCAACTATTAATTTTATTTTTTTTCCTAAGCCTTTTACAGAGTATCGTGCATAATTAATGTCCTGCCTATCTGTACTATATGTAAGATTGTTATGTCCTCTATTTCTCTATAATCCTGTATAACCTATTCTTTATTTTTTACATCTCCAACAGTACTGTTTTTCAATATTTTTTTCTCTACAGATTCCCAATTTCAACTAATTAACAGGGCCACTGGTTTTTGTTTGGTAAAATTAAATAACCACTGCAATGACATTCGCTGGACATCTGGGGATCGACTTTTGGTTCAGAATAAGAACAAGTGCCTGGGTGTTCAGGGAAAAACTGTGGGCAGTGAAGTAAACCTGTATGATTGTGATGAAACCAGTGAGCTCCAAAAGTGGGAATGCATGAATGAAACTGTGATCGCTCTCAAAGGCCAAGAATTTTACATTGACCTCACTGCCGATAACACAGCTGTGCTCTCAAATAAAGTTGTGCCCAATAGCCACCTTACAATTTCTGGGACTTCCAGCGGTGCTTGCACAAGAACATATACAGGTAAATGAAATAAATAAAAATACATTGTAAAGTAATTCATGATAACTTTTATGGAAATAATATTAGTGGCATAATAAATTTGTAGATTTTCATATTTAGTTCCAAAATAATTGTAATGCAAAGATAGTGTGTCAAATGATTACAAGATGTTGATAAATGATAAGTATCATTTTGCTTAAACTATTCAAGCTATTCTTTGTTCTTTTCTTATATGTTTTCCTTATTTTGGTCCTTCAGAACTTTACACCATTGAAGGAAATGCAGCTGGGAGGCCGTGCATGTTTCCTTTCTTTTACAAAAGCAATTGGTATTCGGAGTGCACTGCAGTTGACTCTCCAGGGAACCGTAAATGGTGTGCGGTTGAAACAAAATATGATCATGAACTCTGGGGTTACTGCCCAACTAACTGTAAGTACACAACAAATTCTAATACAGGTTTTCAGAGTAATAAGCAGAACCTGGACATCCAAATTTAAATGTTGAGGAACGCCATCTTGAGGTACAAGTTCAGTGTAACACTATAATACCTTAACTGTGTTTGTGTCACAGCCAAAGAAACCTGGAACAAAGACCCTACAACAGGAGCATCTTATCAGCTGAACACACAGTCAGCGCTGACCTGGGATCAGGCTGATGCCAGCTGCAAACAGCAGAGTGCCTCCCTGCTCAGTATCAGCAATCCTCATGAGCAGGCTTATATTTCAGGTAAGGAGACAAGTCTCCACACTACACTGAATATATTGAAAACAAAACATTTCATTTAAGCTGAGGTTTGACAAATAGCTAAAACTTGAAACATTAAAGTTACTGTGTTAGGGCTATGCGATGTGACCAAAATTTTGTACTCCAATTTAAGACATTTATCGTCACAACAACGAAATATATATATATCACAAAAATTTTAATTTTTATGTAAATTCTGTGAATCTCGGGACACTCAACTTGTTTGAAGTGTTTTCAGCTGGGCGTTGTGTACCTGGAGTCAAGTGTTAGGGTTTAGACATAAGTTGTAACGGCCACCATTTTCTTTGTGAGTATTTATTACACGGCGTGCTGCTGGGAAAAGCCTGTTCTAACGTTTGAGTCTAAGGTTTATTTTTTAGCACCTAAAAATACACATATTATGCATATTCTGGCACGCTGGGTTTACCGTCGTTGTTGCTAACCACAACGCGTAAAAACAGTTGCTTGTCCATCCGTAGTGTAGTTATTTTAAATATAAGAGAAAGAGAGAACTTTAAGAAACTAATATAGCCACTACAGTGACCATCAAAAGGATTAAAAAAATATTGCCGTAAACAGTTTATTTTGCAAAACCATGAAACAAATGATAACGTAATATGTGGTCTGTAGACTGTAGACACTGCTCCAGCTGATGATTATGTTTTGAGTATTACACTTGGTAACTTTTGTTTTCTCTGTCTCTTTTGTCTGTTAAACTCTACTGACAGCACTATTAGGGGCAAATTGGGGACAGGAGTACAAGCTCTGGGTTGGACTGAGCTTCCAGGATTTAGATTATGTGTGGAAGTGGTCTAATGGGAATCCTTATGCATATCTGAATTGGGATTCAGGTAAGTTTACTTTCAAGTTTCAGGAGCTTGTGTTACCATTCTGATGATAATTTATCTTACTATTGTTAAATTATCTCATCAATTCATCTTGATCATGTTTGCCATCTGTTTTATTTATATAAGAAATCTTGTCTGTTAGCAATTAAATAATTTTTTCCCTATTTCTTATAAATTTCTTCCACATGGGTGTGCTAGCCACACTGTAACCTTTTACTGGTCAGCAATTTCAACCACTGCTAAATTATTGTGGTGGCGTTGTGTGTCACATAACCTTGTCACTCTTGGGTAGAAATCATAGGCCTTTACTTCTTTTCCACTAAAACTAAAATGCTCATACACAATACACACCATGCTTCTAAATATCTTGAGAATCCTGTGAATGGAAAGTTGCCGAGTCTCATCTCATAAGTGACAAGTTTCATTTACCATCACTGCTCTGTAGGACATCCAGTTTCTAATCCAGGATATAAGTGTGGAATTATTGATGGCGCTGTTCAGTTTTCTTGGCAAAGTTCAAAATGTAACAAGAAACTGGGATACATCTGCTACAGTGAAGGACCTTTGGATGCACCTACTGAAGGTATAGAAAAAAATCCCTTCTCTACCCTTCTCTTAAAAAACTTGATTGACTCTATTTCTTTGATCTTCTTCTTTTGTTCTTTTGGTTCATAGCTCCCGAGAGTGGATTTTGTACAGCACCCTGGATCCCCTACAATGGCCACTGCTTTTACCTTTATCGTAATGAAACAAAAAAATGGTCTGATGCTCAGAAAGCTTGCGGTAAAGAAGGAGGAGACCTAGTAAGCATTCGTAATGTGGAGGACCAAAGCTTCATCATCTCTCAACTTGGATATGGTATGGCAATAAAAACTTCTGAGCACCATTTGCATTCCTTCAACATAATCTTCACACAAGACTTCATATCCATCTTGTTGGTAATTTCCCCACACGTCTGCCCTTTTAAAATGAAATATTTTTGAGGCACGATCTAATATGATTATGTTGGTATGTTTCTGGATCAACCAAAGTAATGTTTGTCCAGGTTTAACGTTGCTTGTTATCAATCACATTGCAGTGATGTCATAGTGTTGCGATGTGGAAACACCATCACATCGCACACCAAACTCTAATCCTAACCCCATTACCCAAACCACGATCACATACTGATGCCCAACTCTAATCCTAACCACTCCCTTTTCTTTTCCAAGTTGAAAAGCTATGACATCATAACAATGTGATTGGTCAGTTGCAATTTCAGTCCTGGACCAATATTATTATGTTGATCCAGAAACAACACCAACATAAGTTATTGCTAAAGTTCCAGGAAGTTTTCAGCCTCTCCTTTATTTTCCAAATGTCTAAGTTGGGTTGAACATCACACTCAAAAGTTAAAGACACACCAAACCCAGATATTAATGAACATCTTATAGCTACACACTTCATAAGAATGTGAGCAATCTTTTCCTAGGAAAGAGGTCTACTGCTGTAGTTTCAATGTACAACTCTCCTCCAACTTAAGAAAATGCAGTTCTCTGACAACAGGTAATAGTCATTTCCAACTGTTTGCCAACAGGTAGACTTCCTCTTTATAATAATGACCATTTGTCAGTTGTTAGTTTTTGGAATCGACTAATAATTTGGCAGGTCTTTATGCCTATCTCTTCATAAGCATTTAATCACTTCCTGTTGTTTTCTGATCCCTGTATCACTGCACATCTCACATATGATAAAGTTTCCAGCAATTCTGGCAGACTACAATTAGCAACAGTCTAAAATTTAGATGTAAAAGTAACAACTAAAAAGTAGCAAATGAGCAGAATGTATCAAGAAAATTATACAACAATTAATGTTATTTTCTGTCTGCAGCATCCACTGATGAACTCTGGATTGGACTAAATGACAGGAAGAGAGAGAGGCTGTTTGTCTGGAGTGATCATTCTCCTGTGAGTTACACTAGCTGGGACTCTCAGGAACCAACTGTCACCTCTGAACAAGAAGACTGTGTTCTGATCAGAGGGGAGGTAAGGTGCACAGTGTGGGAGTGATTATTGATGATTATGACACACCAGTGTTTTTCTGTAAAACTATGCAGTTCTGTTAAAGAACACTCTCTCTAAACCTATGCAGCTATGTATCACACCTTACTTCACAACATACAGTATACACATATTGGCCAAAGTAAATTTCAAAACCTTTGCCACATGTTTAGTCTGGGACCTGTCTTTAAATCTCTTCTATGCACATATGTATATAAGCACATATTTCCACTATATTCTAACAGTGTGAGAAATGTATTGTTTCAACATCATAAACATAAAAAAGGAAATGTTATGCAGGAACTTCTTGTAGGATTGTTAGGAAGGCAATTTAAATCAGTTTCACAGCAAAAAGATGATTTAGCACTCTCTGGAAGCTGCCCTGCTACTGCTCAGCCTGCTAGTAGATGAACCTATGGTATGAATTTGAAAGTCCTATGTTACTTCCTCTTTGAGTTATCGCATTCACATGATTTTTGAAACAAACAAAAGAAATACAATAAAAAAATAAAAATAAAAACCCAGTCATATCAAAGAGTATGAGGCTTTTGTTTTATGATATGCACCGCAGCCTGTCTATCTCTTGTTAATTTCAGTTTCCACATATATTTTGTTCTTTTCATTCTTGCAGAATGGAAACTGGGCTGACCGTGTGTGTGATGAGAAACATGGCTTTATCTGCATGAAGACAAGTGACTCTGAACCCTCTGGAGATGAAGTGGAGCTGAACGCAGGCTGCAAAACTGTATGTGAACCTTTCATATATTTTCCAAAGAATGTCTGCATCTGGTTGGTCTGAATGCACACATTCTGTTATCTGTTTCTGTTTTGTAAAGGCTGTTGTATATTTCAAATGGCACAATGTCTAAAGCTACTTTTGTGCCTGTGGTCCAAGAAATAGCTGGGAAACCAGCATACACGTGGGATATGATACCTAATCAAATAAATTGTATTTGGATGTTGTTTATAGGAAAAACAATTAAGAAAAAAAAGCAGGCAGATTCTCTTGATTAAATTAGCATGTGGAGTGAGTGGAGTAAGCTATCTCAGGATAATACAAAGTATTATCAAACTTTAAATTGTACATTTAAAATTTTACCCTAGTCTTAAAGTGTATATTTATTTTTTACTCTTCTTATATTTATTTTTGTGTTTTGCACTGAATGTAACTGGAGTCGTCTCGTCTCGCTATATACTGTTCTGTATATAGCAGAGATGAAAATAAAGTTTACTTTGACTTTGAAGTAGTCACACTGATGCAGAGTGATTCTGCATGTGGGGTCTTTCTTCTTGCTATCACAAAAAGATATGTACACAAAGACAGCATTTAACGACAGGCTTGAATAGTTCCTCAACTGTTGTTTCTCTGCGATGCAGGGTTGGAAAAGACATGGATCCTACTGCTACTTTGTAGGGATTGAGACAAAGACGTTTCATGAAGCCAACGATGACTGCAAGAGCTCAAACTCTTATTTAGCTGATGTTTCAACTGGGTAAAAAAAAGTTTTTATGATTCCTAAAATTTTTACCATAAAAAAAGGTAATATACAGTGGTGTAAAAAGTGTTTTCCCCCTTCTGATTTCTCTTGTTAAATCACGAATTAACTGTGATTAACCACATTTTTTGTAAAGTTGTGTTCAGTTTCACTAAATACACTCATGCCTGATTACCGGCAGATCTGTTGAATCAAGAAATCACTTAAATAGAACCTGTCTGAGAAAGTGAAGCAGGCTAAAATATCTGAAAAAGCAACACACCATACCACAATCTAAAGAAACACCTGAGAAATAAGTTCACTAACATCTGTCAGTCTGGTAAAGGAAAAGGTTTCAAAGCCATTTCTAATCTAATCCATTTCTGATCTAAAACACACCAAAAGTCCACCTTTTAATGGTTTAAGAAAAACAAATTAAAACATTTGAGTCATGACCTAAATCCAATTCAGATGCTGTGGGATGATGTTAAAAAGATGGTTCATGCTTGAAAACCCTCCAATGTGGCTGAATGACACCAATTCTGCAAAGGCAAGTGGGTGAAAATTCCTCTACAGAGCTGTGAAACACTCATTGCCAGTTATCGCAAAAGCTTGATTGCAGTTGTGTCACGGTCCTGGGTCGGTGACCCAGTGTTTTTGGTTTTGTACTTTTACTTTTGAATTTACGAAGTATGACTGTTTGTTTTGGTTTCTATCCTAGTATTTCAGGTTTCTAGTTTGGTAGTACTTCCTGAGTTCTTGTTTTTAGGTTTTGTTATTTGGTTTCCCAGTGTTTATTCTGTGCTCCCTCTTCTCTGTGTTCCTTCTGTCTGTCCATGGTGTTATTTTGTCTGCTCATGAGTCTGCGTCTGTTAAATTCTGTGTCTCGTCTGGATCTCTCTGTCTGTCGTGTACTTCCTGTTTACTTTGTAGGTCTATGCCTTATGTCTGTGGGTTCAGCTTTGTGCTCTCCCTGTCTCATCAGTGTAATCAGCGTCAGCTGTGTCTCCCAGCTGTTTCCTCTTAGCGCTGTTCACCTCTTGTATTTAGTGTCTGCGTCTTCCCTGCTAGTTGTCGTGTTCTACCCTCACTTTCACTCTGTGTTCTGTTTGCCAGCCTGCCCACCTGTTTAGTTTGTTCCGTATTCACAGTTTAGTTAGTTTTTTGTTCAGTTTCTTCCCAGCAATAAAGCTGAGTATTTTGAGTTACTTCTGTCTCTGTGAGTGCTGCATTTTGGGTCCTCTCTTCCTGCCTGCCTGCACAAAGCCATGACAAGTTGTTTCTGCTAAGGGTGGCCCAACTGCTTAATAGGGAGCAATCACTTTTTCACACAGTAGGTTTGGATTTTTTCTCCTTAATAATAAACGCCTTCATGTTAAACTGTATTTTATGTTCACTTGTGTTGTCTTTGCCAAATATTAAAATTTGTTTGATGATTTGAAACATTTAAGTGTGGGAAAAATATTAAGCAAATCATCAAGGGGATAATCACTTTTTCACACCAATGTATCAAGTTGCAGGCAGTCTGTAATCTAACTTGTGTAAATATTTCCAGGGTGGATAATACTTTCCTTGTAAGTTTGGTGGGGCTGAGGCCAGAGAAACACTTCTGGATAGGTCTCTCAAACCTGAAAAACAGAGAATATTTTATGTGGACCAACAATGCCTACGCGAGATATACTCACTGGAACACTCATATGCCAGGTAATGAAACAATCTCATGATCTATATGTAAACTATAGTTGGGAGATGACTTCACAAATGACAGCTAACAATTTCTTTTATAACACAAGGTCACGTGCAGGGTTGTGTTGCTATGGCAACTGGGCATTCTGCTGGCCTTTGGGATGTGTTGCCCTGTACCAATAAGGAAAAATACATCTGCAAACACCTGGCAGAGGGGGCAGCTTTAACCCCTGCTCCACCAACCACTGCCACACCTAACTGCACAGATGGATGGATTAAGATGCAATCCAGAGGCATCTGTTATAAGGTGCAGCATGTCTCTCTCTCTCTCCCTATGTGTGTGTATATAATTCTATTGAACTTATTCATAATAGGGATGACATAAAAACAGAGATGGCTGCCCAAGTTTAGTATATAGTTTTAAATGTACAAATATTACCAAAGCTTCAGATCACAATTCAGTTTCTTATATTTTGTTTAAGATCTTTCCAGAGGCTTCAGAAAAGAGAAAGACCTGGTACGAGGCTAGAGATTACTGCAGAGCCATTGGAGGAGACCTAGTCAGCATTCACAGCAGTGCTGATTTACTACGGACATACAATAACATCTACAATCATTGGTATAGTGTTTTCTGGTCTACAGTTAGAGCTACATAAGATGAAAATGTTTTGTATAGATTTTTATCATTACAAAAGATTAAAAATACAGTATTTTTTATATATACAATGTAATTAATTACTGATGTAGAAGCCACCCCCATTTTATCCTCAATGATTGTTCAATGATGGTCATATTTTTGCAGACTAGTGCACCATTCCTCCAGAGAGTGCTAAATCAAGTATTAAACTTTGGAACATACATTTGTCCATTATAGGCCTAATCAATACTGGATTGGACTTAGTGCTCTTGACCCAGACACAGGTTATGTATGGAGTGATAGATCCCCGGTGAGTTTACAGTTTTTAACTCTCTACAATGGTTTATGTAGCCTAAATGATGATAACGATCAAGATGATGATTATTAACATTAATAATGTTACAGCTACTATTACAACTGATACAAATACTACTACTATTAATAATTATCTTGTTTTTGTATAAAGGTAAACTTCCAAGACTGGAAAGATGGAGAACCAAACAATAAAAATAACGCTGAATTGTGTGTTGAAGTAGAACCCGTGTATTGGGATAACATTTTGCTTTGGAGTGATGTGCCCTGTGAGAAGTACAATAACTGGATTTGTCAGATCCACGCAGGTAAAGCATGGTCACAGTTCTAAAATTCCTTTGCAACATATTTTTGAACTAGACATTTATTGTTGTCGGCCTCATGTATTCTCACAATGTCAAGCTGGAGGTGGTCACTAGTAATTCAACACTATTTTGTTTTTATACCTTTACAGGAGTCACCCCAAAGCCGGCTCCAGACCCTGTCACCCCTGGTATGTTGAGGAATTTGACCACATTGGCGGTCAGCATCTTTACATGACTTTTGACTTTCTATTATGATTACCAGGCCATGAGGCATACTATGCTGACACGAAACTAATGGATGCTGATTTACTGCATGGCGAATATCTGTGGCCAAACAGTATTATTAATTTTGTTTTTCTTGTAGAATGCCATGTAGAATTATATATGATAACTCATATAATACATTGTTTAATGTAACCCAACAACAAATCCAAAATATAAATAGGAACCTAAAGTTGCTCTTCTGAAGTCTCGTAAGATAATGAGATATTGGTTAAAAAAACAAAAAAACAAAACATCTGTTTACCTGATTGATACAGTATGAGTATAAAACTTACAGTGAAGAAAGTGAACTATGTAGTGTGAGCATAAGATCAAAAACATGCAGATTTTTTTTACTTAAAAAATTGTTCACTTTAAAATCTGCTCATCAGCTATATTTACAGTGGAACAGAGAACCACACACATGCACATTTCTTATCTATTCTCAGAGTATAACACGACCTCTGATGGGTGGCTAGAATGGAATGGGGCTCAGTATTACATTAATGAAAAGGCGATGGCCATGGAGGACGCTCGTACGTTCTGCAGACAGAGGCATGGTGACCTGGTATCTATCAACAGTGAAGCAGAAAGGATATTTTTATGGAAACAGGTAGGCAATGGCATTTGTAAAAGATTTACCAAGGCAATGGGTAAGGTGTAACTGAACAAACTGAAACTTCCACACAGACAGTTTTACTATGCATCCATGCTTTTGTGCAGATTTCAACAGGTTATGAGAATTCTTGGATTGGCCTATCTGTAGATCTTGATGGAACATTTCAGTGAGTATGAATTGATTTATAAAATTTAAATGCAACAAAATAAACTTAAATTTATGTGACACCATGTTAAAAATAGAGAGTACTTAGTGCAAGGCAGCATGCCAGATGTACGAGTATACCAGTTTTAATTTCATTTAATCATATCTTGATTGTTTGATATAAAATCTGATGGCTAGTATACAGAGACAAAATTACCTATTAACTACCTAAATACATATTAACTGTAAATTGTGGTTAATTTACATTTCTGTTTGTGATCTTTAACTTTTAATTAATATTTGTAAAATGAATCAGTTACTATTCCAGTTTGCTATCTTTCTTACTAACTTAATTCAGGTACTATAACTAAAACCAAAAAACTGTGACTAAAAGGAAGAAGGCAAAGAGTACTTTTACTTAAACCAGTATGTGACTGTGTTGGTAATATAAGTTTTTACAGACATATTTAAACCATGTGTCTTTTTACATTAAGGTGGATGGATGGTTCTCAAGTGGTGTTTCAAAGGTGGGATGAAAATCAACCTGAATTCAAGAACTTTGATGAAAACTGTGCTGTCATGACACATCATAATGGTGAGTGTACCGAAATAATAGGTATAGCCATAACAAGAAGAGCCCATAGAGAGTTTTTAGAGCACCTCTACAACCATGTATTCTGATCATGATTCTGCTTATTACATAAACTACAAGAACTGATAGCTGGCTTGTGTGATATCAAAACTGATTAAAGATAGAGTTGATTTGATTTTTTAAAATCTATCATTCGAGTTGATTATATGATTAATTTACTATACTCAAATGGCTAGCAGGATTCTGGCATGACTCCAACTGTGGGCTTGAGTATGCGTCCTTTTGTAAGCGCAGCAGCTCAACTCCCACAAACACCACTGCTGCAGTGCCTACAGTGTCCCCAAAAGGTGGATGTCCACCCCCTTGGAAAAAATTTAACTCTAAGGTCAGATATCTTTCATGTCTTTTAATTTTTCTGTTATTTACTGTTGAAGGGATATGTTCTCAGTGCTTGGAACACTATATTGATCTTTTTCATGTTTCAATTTTAGTGTTACAGCATAATTTTTAAGAATCAGAATTTAACGTGGCAAGATGCAAGGGAAAAATGCAAACAAAAAGGTGGACAATTGGCATCTATTACTTCAAGACAGGTGGAAGGTTTGTTTCATTTTCATTTTACTCAAATATGTATTTAGATCTTGTGAACTTCTCCTCTTATGTGGTCCATTTACTGTCATTGCAGATATCTGTTCTTAGTAGCTAAAATTACCACTGAATTTCTGTTGTTGTGCAGTTCTGGCATACCTACAAGTTAGAACTGATACCACGGTGCACTTTAGCAAGAAAATACAAACATGAATCAATTTTATTGAAAAGTTCCATTTTGGTCTCATCTGACCAGAGCACCTTCTTCCACATGTTTGCTGTGTCCCCCACATAGCTTGTGGCAAACTGCAAACGGGACTTCTTATGGTTTTCTTTAAATAATGGCTTTCTTCTTGCCACTCTTCCATAAAGGCCAACTTTGTGCAGTGCACGACTAATAGTTGTCCTATGGACAGATTCCCCCACCTGAGCTGTAGATCTCTGCGGCTCGTCCAGAGTCACCATGGGCCTCTTGGCTGCATTTCTGATCAGGGCTCGCCTTGTTCGGCCTGTGAGTTTAGGTGGACGGCCTTGTCTTGGTAGGTTTACAGTTGTGCCATACTCCTTCCATTTCTGAATGATCGCTTGAACAGGGCTCTGTGGGATGTTCAAGGCTTGGGAAATCTTTTTGTAGCCTAAGCCTGCTTTAAATTTCTCAATAACTTTATCCCTGACCTGTCTGGTGTGTCCTTTGGATTTCATGGTGTTGTTGCTCCCAATATTCTCTTAGACAGCCTCTGAGGCCGTCACAGAGCAGCTGTATTTGTACTGACATTAGATTACACACAGGTGCACTCTATTTAGTCAGGCAATGTCTATGGGCAACTGACTGCACTCAGACCAAAGGGGGCTGAATAATTACACACACCCCACTTTGCAGTTATTTATTTGTAAAAAATGTTTGGAATCATGTATGATTTTCATTCCACTTCTCACGTGTACACCACTTTGTGTTGGTCTTTCACATGGAATTCCCATAAAATTGATTCATGTTTGTGGCTGTAATGTGACAAAATGTGGAAAAGTTCAAGGGGGCCGAATACTTTTGCAAGCCACTGTATCTCAACCATAAATCTTTGTCTACATTTTCAGTGTTTCTACTGTCTCAAATGGTTGATGCACCTACTACAGACTTGTGGATTGGTTTATTTCGGTCACAGTGGAAAACTTACTGGACTGATGGACAACCAAAGTCATATACCAATTTGGGTAATAATGTACGTGGGATAATCTAAATATATACATTAACTAATGAATAATTAAATGAATGAATTATAATAATAAATTATTGTGTTTCTCTTTCTGAGAAAACATTATACTCATTAAAAGTGAACAACCATAACTATATGTGCAACCTCTGTAGGGTCCAGGTATGGCCTCATGCTACCAGTAGTGACACTAACTCTAGTCAATGACAAAACTAGTGAAAAAACAAAGAGAAAGATGAGCAGGGAAAAAAATGTGAGGGTAAACCATTCCCGTTTTGGAGGGTGTCTCACTGTTGCCTCACTAGTGCACCCGTTGATAATGTTATTAACAGCAAATCAGCTGAAACCAATTAACAGCCTTCTCTGCTTATTAAATGATCAGTATCCCAGAACTTACACTGACTCGATGCTATACTTTGTTTAAAAAGTGTTTCTTTAACTTTGAGCAGTGTACTTGCACCATGTAGATACAGAATATAATTACCTATTGTGAAGGGTCAGATACTTAGAAATAATCTATAACTGTATATTCTTGTATAAATATTTAAAATCTCTGTGTTTACATTGCAGTATTGGTATTGGTACGATCAAATGGTAAGTAGTTTTTAAAACTTATTTGTAAAGTACAGTGACACTTTATGGCATGACAGTTTACAGTTCTTGTTGTATTTTACAAGTTCTACAGTGACAGAACTACTATTTAATTATTTATCTGTTATTTATATAGCTATATATTATGCAAGGGCACTCAAATGTTTGCATGTTTAAATAAAATAAGAAAGAAAACTTTCCTAATATAATCTGCTCTGATGATTAGACAGTAACCAATAATACAGTATATTGTATGTAGAAGTATATGTAAATTCCCTGTGTCACCACATAGCATCATTCTGTTGACCCAACTCTGTTTCCACAGAAAAACTGTTTTGTGATCAATACCAAGCCTTTGGTTGGTATTGGGAAATGGATTCAAAAGTCATGCAATGACACCAATGGATTTATCTGTCATCGAAATCTTGGTGAGTCCATTTCTAACCCCAGGCCTGTTGCCACCCAACTTCAGCTGCAGCTTCATCAGACTCTCTAAAACAACTAAAAATATGTTTTGACTTTTTTAGTCCTATAATTAATATCTATATCTATAAGTGATATATAAAATCTATGATCAAGAGTATGATTCCACATTGACAAAAGCTGTAATAGTTTTAAGAGTACCGTAGAGAGGTTTGTTATGTAAAAAAAAGTCAATAAATAAAATTGTTTCTATTCTAATCCTCAACAGACACATCTCACCCAGATTCTCCAGAACCAACAATTTCTACTAACTACATCAAAATACTCAATGATTCCATTAAGGTTATTCCTCAACAAATGAATTGGGATAAAGCTGCAGAGTACTGTAAAAATGACGATGCCCTCCTAGCTAGCCTGAGGAATGAGTGGATGCAAGCTTATGTTGAGCTCATGGCGCTGAATCTCAAGGCTCCTCTTTGGTTTGGATTACACAAAGTGCAGGTAAACTTATAAAAACCTATAAAAAGTACATAGCTCAATAATAGGTCAACCAGTTTGAAACTGACTCTGGTAAAAATTCTAAAACTTACCTATGGGTACAATAAATTGTTCCAACAAAGATTTTATCTAACTAAATAATCTGTGATTATGAGAATGAAATTGTCATTGATGGATAAATATACTGGTCCAGTTATTTATCCACTCATTCAGTTATTTATCCAGCACAATTTTTGCATGATAAATTTGAACTGAGATTGTGATCCATCCTCTTCTTATTATCCAATATAAGGATGTTGGAGGATGGAGCCAGCCTCAGCTGACATTTCTTATTAAAAGTCTAGAGCTAGCTGATGTTGTGATTCCGTTCTAGCTAGAAATGCACCACACCAATGGGATGGTTTTCAGTTTTTTGGCCGCAATAATAGTCCGTTAATGTAATAGTGACCAGTATTAACCTGTTACCTAATGTCAGCTAAATCTAGCCATCCCTTTTGACAATAAATCTTCCAGCATTAGGCAAACACATTTGAAGTTACTGTGTGTTTACATTCTGTACTCTCAATCATGGTTGGAAATGGCTGACTGTTATAAAGCACTGGCTAACTTGACTACATTTAAGGAAGGTACCAATAAATGTGATGTAAAGAAGCAGTTGCACGTAACACCAACAAACTCAAGAACACTCTTAAATTCGGCATTCATTAAATAAGCAGTGTGGCAGTGCAGCATCCCTGCTCCAGCAGGGAGATTCTCTGTGAGAGGAAGGCATGTTGAGCAACAGCACCTCTTAGAGTAACTGCATGTCTCTTTGGATTCTCCTCCGTGTTCTTGAGACTGAGCTGGGAGACACAGCAAACCTTCTGGAAATGGCACATATTGATGTGCCATCCTGAAGGAGCTGGACTACCTATGCAACCTCTGTAGGATTTTTTTAAGCAGTATAGATCACCATGCTAGTTTAATTCAACTGTTTTAACAGAAAGAAATCTCTTTTTATTGACTGTTTTACCCTCCATGCAGTTAAGCTTACTAAGGCAGATATTCCTGAAAACCAGAAAATATCGGTAACTGCTGTCTCATTAATCTTTGCTTTCAGATCAATGGTTCTTTCAGATATGTTGATGGATGGCATTTAATATTCAGTCGATGGGGTACAAATGAACCAAGAAAGGACAGAAGCTGTGTATACATGGATGTGGATGGAAAATGGAAAACCGCTCACTGTAATGAGACACTAATGAGTGTTTGCATGAAGTCTACAGGTACGACCAAACACACACACAGTTTGAAAGATACTGTTTTGACAACACAGTTTTAAAAGAATGTAATTAATTGATCCCATTGACATTACCTCATTCACAGATGTGCTGCCAACAGAGTCAACCATTTTTCCAGGAGTTTGCCCTCAAGACCCAGAGGCAACAATAGAAAACAAGAACTATATCTGGGTACCATTCAGGGGTTATTGTTATATTTTTATTACAGAGCAAACACACTGGAGAGAAGCATCCACCACCTGTGTAGCACATGGTAGGCAACCTATGTGAAAGACACGTTTATGCAATAAATTGCTGTAGTTTTCATTAACAACTGATTTGTTTTGTTAAGGTGGAATGCTTGCCAGCATTGAAGATTCCTCTGAGCAAAAATTTCTAGAAATTAACCTGAGAACTTTTCAAGATGGCTTCACATCTTTCTGGATTGGCCTGTTTAAAAAACAATACAAAGGTGATTTATTATTTTTGCTATGTTCTTTAAAAATATTATTTTGGGGAAAAAAATTACATTTTTACATCTCTTTTTTTTGTCTATTTGCCTGCAGAGGAATGGCTCTGGGTGGACAGAACAGCCATGGGTTACACTAACTGGGCTGAAGGTCAACCTTTTAATATGAGCTTTGGATCGCGCACAGGAGAGATTAGTACATCAGATGGGACATGGAAGGATATCGAAATATGGAATTATAGACCTTACATCTGCAAGACACCAAAAGGTAAAGTAATCTTTATTTATTGCAGTGTTTTTCTTTTTTTCCTTTTTATAATGCTGATTCAAATCAGTTGTAAGACTTTGACTGCATACATAACACAGTCATATGAATCCAAAAGCTGAAAGAAATACCTCTTGTGGGTCAGAATCTTGAGTGCACAGTCAAAATTAGATCCATTTATAAATGCCTGTTTACTCCACAAGAATCTTGAGCAATTTATTTTTACTTTGAAATGAAGTAGAGCTACTTTTTTTTTTTATAAAGTATCTTATTTGTTCTTTTTCTTTTGCAGTATTACTACCAACGCCATCACCACCAGCCCGTAAGTAACACCTCTTTTATCTATTTATTTTATGTAAAATTGTTACAAATGTTTTTTTTAGCTGATTACCATCTACTTTTTCACTCTGTACAGAAACTGGATTACCTCATCATCAGCGTGTCTATATAACCACTGCAGTTGTGTTAGTCATTACTGGGATTGCAGTGGTGGCAGTCACTGCTGTCTTCATCTTTAAGAAATTTGGTCATCAGTTACCCGCCCCTAACACCTTCGATAACCCGCTCTTCTTCAGTAGTAGGGTGTCACAGCCTGAGCAAGCTGACACCAGTATACTGGTAGAGAATGCAGCAGAAGAGAACACTGGAGATTTAATCAGTATGTAATTTAAATATTTTGGGCTCATTTGCATGGCCCATATGATTTCCTAGTATGTTATAAAAATTTGAGCTGAGGTGGCAGCAAGTAGCACATAATGGCTTACTGGAAAATAAAAGGTGAGAATCATCTCATATTATCATATTCTGTGAATGTAGGTTACACAAATGCTGGCTTTTGTTATTTCAGTTATGGTTAGGATAAAAGGTAGGGTAAATGGAGTTTAATGCATGTCCTAGTCAACAATCATATATGCATGCAGCAACCTGAAATATCAAGACAAATCAGGAAGGATCCATGGTTTCATGTTGCTGAAATTAGATTCTAACCATACCATCCAAATTTCACAACAAGAGCTCAGACTCACCAGACCAGGCAACATTTTTCTTCTATTGTGCAAGCTGACAGGCTGCTGTAGTCCATCTGCTTCAAGGCTTTACATGTTATACATTCAGAAATTATTTGAGTTACTCTTGCCTTCCTGTCAAGTAGCATCATCATTCTCCACTGACCTCTTACATCAATGAGGCATTATCATCCACAGAACTGCAGCTCACTGGATATTTTCTCTTTTTCAGACCATTCTCTATAAATCCTAGAGATGGTTGTGTGGAAAATTCCAGTAGATCACCAGTTCTTAAATATTCAGACTATATACACTACCGGCCAAAAGTTTTAGAATACCCCAATTTTTCAAGTTCTTTATTGCAATTAAATTTGTTCAAGTCCAATATATAGCTTGAAATGGTACAAAGGCAAGTAATGAACTGCCAGAGGTTAGAAAAAATGTAAGGTTAACCAAAACTGAAAAATAATAAACATTTCAGAATTATACAAACAGGCTTTTTTCAACGAAGACAAAATGAGTCAACAATTTAAAGCTGTTCTGCAGCAATGGAGGTTGACCCAGCCTTGAAAGCTACTACTAATTCCTACAGGTGTTCCAACTTTTCTGCATTACTTACAACCCTTTCTGTCTCAGTGTTGCAATACACTGTGGTACCTACCAACTGAGCATCGGTTGAACAGTATTGTACTGCAGAAAGTAGTGTGTTGCTAAAGAAAATGGCAAGAAAAAGGCAATTAACAATGGAAGAGAAACAGACCATCATAACACATAAAAATGTAAATTTTCCTACAGAAAATTGCAAAAAAAAAGTCAAAATGTCAGTTAGTGGCTATCCATTTAACCATTTGCACTTGCTTATCCAGTTTAGGGTTGGGGGTGGTCTAGAGGCAAGGTACAACCTGGGCAGATTAACAGTCTGTCCCACAGTAGTGGCTATAGCTGTCAAAAATGGTATTGAGCATTTTTCTGAGTTTCTGCATCAACTTGTAAATTCTAACATTGTAACATTTGGGATTTTTGTATGCTTTTGTAGCTTTGTTGTTTGCTGTGGACTTGCTCAACCTGCTGAATTAAAGTTTTGTTCTGTTTAACCTGTCTACCTTCTTTGTCTGTGATTCATGACAATAAGTTGACACAAGTTGTATTCATATCATCATGATTCATGCTTAATAAAACAAGCAAGTAAGACCTATTCAGTTTGAAAAAACAGGCAATAATATTCACATGACGGCACAATTAATGTTTTGATGCTGAAACCTGCAAATTTCTCTTACTGTCACTCTTACCCAGCTATTTTGTCTACTAAGCAGTTTATAATTTGACATCTCAGCTGCTAAATTTTTGGATTTCTTCCTCTTCGTTAGGGTTCATTTCTCAGAGTTCCACTACCCACTTCCTCTTAACTAGGGCCTCTAAACAGTGTTTCAATTTTTAATTAGCCACTATGCTGTAGAAGATAAATAACTGTAATTGGCTGTGTCTGTGAAGGTTCTCAGTCATCCAGGTCATCGTAGTCTAAGGAGCTTGCAAAGAAAAGCGTCTGGACTTCTTTGAGTTGCTTGAAGACGTTTCACCTCTCATCCAAGAAGCTTCTTCAGTTCTAAGGTCAAATGGTGGAGAGTCCCAGATTTAAACCCAGTGGGAGTTTCCCCCCCAAAGAGGGACAAAGGACCCCCTGATGATCCTCTACCTAATCACATGAGCCAAGGTGTGAAAGCAGGTGTGGGTCCCAATCAGCGAGGGTTTCGGGTGAGCTCATTGTGAAACCTGGCCCCACCCTATCATGTGATTTCCTGAGGTCAGATGGCCCAGGATTTGAGTGGGCGTTAAGGCGTCTGGGAAGGGATCTCAAAACTGGATTATAGATGGCAGACAGATGGTGTCGTAAACCACCGCCTCTGTTCAAAGATGGTTGCTCACAGTGGACGTGGGACTCTCCACCATTTGACCCTTAGAACTGAAGAAGCTTCTCGGATGAGAGGCGAAACGTCTTCAAGCAACTCAAAGAAGTCCAGACGCTTTTCTTTCCAAGCTCCTTAGACTGTAATTGGCTGTCATCAGATATGTGTGCTTAAATTACCATTTCAAAAGAAACAATAATCTATTACCTTAATAAAAACCACTCTCCAGCCATGCAGACAATTCCTCTACTCTCTTTGCAAGCCAAGGCTTACATTGTGTGTTTTCTCCTCAACGTAACACTGATTCATCAGCTATACTCGGATGCTGTCCAAGATAAAGACAATGTTGGATAACACCTCCCACCCACTCCATGACATGTTGGTCAGTCACAGGAGCTCGTTCAGTGAGAGACTGAGATTACCGAAAAGCACCACTGAACGACACAGGAAATCATTCCTGCCTGTGGCCATCTCCCTGTACAACGCATCCACTTAACACACTGTTTGCTGCTACAACTACACATGTTTCTTTTCCAAATATTTATTTATAAGTGACTTATGTATGTATGTATGTATATATATGTATATATTGTACTATTCTTAGTTAGCGTATTGTCTGTCTTGTCTTAATGTTGGTTTAAAATGGAGCACTGTAACAAAAAATAATTTCCCCCAGGGATCAATAAAGTATTCTGATTCTGATTCTGATTATACTCAATGTTGAGTTTTAATTATAATAAAGCTTTAATTGTATTGCGCGTATCAAAACTGTTAATGTAAAGTGTATAAGAAAAGCACATGTACATCCATCATATAGGTAGGGGGCAAAGACTAAACAGGATAAATGATAAAAACCGGTGCATCAGTTTAACAGAACCAGTGCATCCATGGAAAGTCCACTGAGTTCTTTCAAGCATTCACAGAAGGATATCATAACTTCCTCAGTGTGGTTGTTGCAACATAATTGTAACTGTAATTCTAGCACTTCCTGTTTCACACACTGATTTGTTTATTACTCAGTTTCAATCACGTAGTAATTTGTGTAATACTGGAAGTTGACAAGGCCCTCCTTGTTCCTCTGAGACAGAACAAATAATACTCTTAGGACTGGTGGTCAACAGTCATTCACACAAGCCTTAAACACTTTGCAAGAAATGCATGTATAAAGTTTTCTAATACAAATTGCAGGAATACTAACAATGAGGATAACTTGTAAAATCTTTGTGATCCTCATCCAAACATTTTATTGTTTGGCTTCAGATGGTACAGTAATCCAACTTTTAATTTTAATCTTTTGTCAGATTTTATTGATTTCCTCTGCTCTGTGTTTTTAAAACGAGCATGTTTATCCTGTAAATTTATGTCAGCATATCATTTGGCTCTTCTTGTCAGCAAGAAGAGTGAAATGATTCAGAGTCAATGAGGCACCAAAAGCAATCCCAGTCATGGAAATGAAGTGAATTTATATCAATTATTTTTCAACAGACTCACCATTTCAGCTAACTAACAGGGGCACTGGTTTTTGTTTGATAAAAACAAATAACCACTGCAATGACATTCGCTGGACAACTGGTGATCGACTACTGGTTCTGCAGAGGAACAAGTGCCTGGGTGTCCAGGGAAAAAGTGTGGGCAGTGAAGTAAACCTCTACGATTGCGATGAAGCCAGTGAGCTCCAAAAGTGGGAATGCAAGAACGAAACAGTGTTCGCTCTCAAAGGCCAGGAGCTTTACATTGAGCTCACTGCAGATAACACAGCCATTCTCTCCAGGACAACAGGACCAAATAACCACCTCACAATTTCTGGAACATCCAGTGGTGCCTGCACAAGAACTTATAGAGGTATTGTGCCATGTGAAAAAGAGTATAATGCAATTTTTCTTAGATAAGAGGGTTGTATTAAATGGATGCACAGGTTTCTACCTAGCTTCATGTCTTAAAGCTGTTTGTGATAAATGTGTTTTACAGTCTTTGTTTTGTTCGTTTGTTTATTTGACCTTTTAGAGCTTTTTACCATCGGTGGAAATGCAGCGGGAAGGCCGTGTATGTTTCCCTTTCTATACAAAACTCAGTGGTATTCAGACTGTACTAAATTTGACTCCTCGGAAAAGCGTCTTTGGTGTGCAGTTGAAACAAACTATCAAAGCGAACGCTGGGGGTACTGCCCAACTATGTGTGAGTAATGAAACCAATTGAAGGAAATAATTGAACCATTAGGACCTACAATTATTTTTCAGAGCTCTTACAAGGATTAACTGATTTATTATATACTTTTAACTTAAGTCAACTCCCATAGCTGAACAGAGGCAAAAAATCAACATTAAGTTAGAGAAGTAAAGTATTACCTTTACTATTGCACCAGTGTTGTTGAAGACCAGGGCCAGAATTGGCCTGGGAAAGACTCCAAAACAACCCACTGGAAGACTCTGGAAAATATGAAGAAGTGCATAGACTTTAAACTTTTAACTGTATTTTGATAAGTTCTGCTGCTTTTCTTATATTCCCAGTTTTCCTTGATCATGACTCAATCACTATTTCTATTCATACTACAACAAAGTCGTTAAATTATAGAAAAACAATTAAATGACAGAAAAGCTGTTTCCCCCCCCCCCAAAAAAAAGATAATTTTTCTATAATATTTGAATTGCATTGAAGGAAAGTTGAGTTTCACTGGTTAGGCCCACTAAAGATTAAAGTTACCCATGATCTAAAATGAGTTTGACTTATAAACATATATGCATTTTGTATATACAGCCAAGGAAGACTGGAATATGCACCCAACAACGGGAGCGTATTACCAGCTTAACATACAGTCAGCTTTGACTTGGCACCAGGCACAAGTCAGCTGCAAACAGCAGGGAGCTTCCCTTCTCAGCATCGATGATCCTCACGAGCAGGCTTATATCACAGGTAATCTGCCTCGGACACACTGAAAAAGTGATCATGTATTTATGTGCATACTTTAACTCCTGTAAAGTATATGTATCCAAACATAGTATTTTATTCTATTTTATATAGTATATTGTTCTTTTTATCTTATTCTATTCCATTGTTTTTCTTGACTGTTGCTCCCTGTAACTTTGCACTGTCCACTTTCTGTCGTGACTCAACAAATTTCACACGTGTGACTAATCAGAGTTTATCTTATCTTTTCTTATCTCTTATCTTTGTGTTATGAATTACATGATTTTCCCCCCATCATTTAAAAAAAAGAACATTAACACTAGTTTTGATTATTGTTAAGATAAGATAAGATAACCTTTATTAGTCCCACGCGTGGGAAATTTGTTTTGTTACAGCAGTGGACAGTGCAAAGTTGCATAGAAAAATTAGAAGAAAAAAACACTGGAATAATATATCCATAAGATAATGTACACAATATACACTATAATACAATGATGCCAGAAAGAGTATTGCACTTAGTGTTATTGCTATTGCACATGTGTGGATGTGTGTGTTTGATCAGTTGAAGTCTTTGTTGTGGAGTCTGACAGCAGTGTGGAGGAAAGACCTGCGAAATCTCTCCGTCCCACATCGTGGGTGCCGCAGACTGCCACTGAAGGAGCTGCTCAGTGCTGTCAGAGTCTCCTGCGTGGGGTGGGAGATGTTGTCCAACAGGGATGATAGAGGTTACAATTAGAGATTTATTTAACGCAAAGTGAAAGACATTTTTCCTTTTTCATTTCTGTACTCAATGGCTCCAACAGCACTGCTATGGAAAGGGGGCAATACACTTTGGATTGGACTCATCCTAGATCCAGAACATGGCTGGAAATGGATAAATGGCAGGCCTTACCGTTACATGAAATGGGACTCAGGTGATATAATATATTCTAGCAGATTACTGGTAAAACAGCTGTTTAAGTTAGCATAAAGACATGAAAGAGGCAGAACAGCCTGACTCTCTATGACGGCAACAATAAAACATATTAATAGAAAATATACAATTTGTTAACTGAAAAAAACTGAAATGCATCTGCAAAAAGAAAGATAGAAATTGGAGCCCGGGTATAAGACTGTTGTAGAGTTAACATGTAAAGTATATCTATCATCATGTTTAGGACATCCACTTCCTAATCCGGGATACAACTGTGCAGTTGTTGATCCTAGTGTACGGTACCTTTGGCAAAGTTTACCTTGTAGCAATAAACTGGGCTACATCTGCTACAGTAAAGAGGCTGAAGAAGCTC